TCCCCAAGTATTTATAGGTAAATGAGGATTGGGGAGGTTAAGCAATTTACCCAAGTTTATGCAATCTTGCACACTCAACCACTAGAGTCACACATAACTAGTGAGATACTGAGACAAATACAACAAGCAATTTTGCTCCACTGAAAATATCAGTGGACTGAGACAGCCAGATAGCTTAGTGGATTAAAGTGCCCATTTAGGCAGATGCAAGGGCCAGGGGTTCAATCCCCTGCTTGCCATGCCGGCCCTGCTCCCAGGGCACACTGACAGTAATTGAGACTGGGCATGGTGGCGCGCCTATAATCTCAGCACTTGGGAGGCTGAAAAACAGGAAGGATCACTACAAATCCAATCTGTGTAGTAAGACCCTGTAAACTCTGTACTGAATACAAAAAAATAAAAACAAAAAATAGAAAATATCAGTGTATTGGGCCAGCCAAATAGCTCAGTGGATTAAAGTACCTGCAAGCAGGCGCAGGTGCTGGGTGTTTGATCCCCAGGGCCTGTGGTGTAGGCCCCACCCCTGGGGTGAGCTAAGACATCAATTGAGACTGGGAGTGATGGCACAGGCCTGTAATCCCAGCTCTTGAGAGGCTGTATACAGGTGGGTCACTACAAGTTCATCTAGTAGTGAGACCTTGAACACCCTATAGACTCTTCCCTAAAATACAAAAAAAAAAAAAAAAAAAAAAAAAAAAGAGAGAGAGAGAGAAAAAGAAAATATCAGTGTACTTACACAAACTGAGATGGCTTTGTCACTATCTGATGGGACCACCTTTGCATATTCTATCCAAAATGGACTAAAATGTTATTATGACTATATGTACAGGTACACATGTATGTATATACAAATAATCTTAGTGTACATCTTTTCTATAATCTTTCTACTCGAGTATGGGAAGACCAGTGAATATCATTTCTATGATTAGGTTACTGATCAGCTGACTTTGACTTAATGAAAAGGGAGATTATCCAGGATAGGAATCTTTTAAAGACCACATGTCAGAAAGACAAGTTGGAGGAGTAAGCTGCCATATTGTAGAGAGGACCACAATGAAGTAAGGAGAGGATGTGAGAGTAGCCTCTAGGAATAGAGAGCAATAGTGAGCTGACAGAAAGACTGGACTCCTTAGTCATAAGATTGCAAGAAAATGAATTCTGACAGTAACTTGACATGTTAGCTTTTTGTTGCTGCAATAAAACATAAGAAAATTACTTGAAAGAAACTTCATGGTCTCAGAGATTTCGATCTGTGGCCACTAGACTCCATTGCTTTAAACCTGTGTTGGCAAAGTAGATCATGGTAGCAGAAGCGTGTGATGGAGGAGATCTGTTTGTTGTAACTCAAAAATCAGATGACAACGAGGCAAGTCCAAAAATTAAAAGAAGCACTTTATTTTAGCTGGTACCCAGCAGCAGTCTCTATGCAAGGTGCAAAGAGGCGCGCCGAGCATTGACAAGGTGCAGTATTTAAGCTTGAAAACCGCAGAAATAGGGGAGGGGTGGAGAGGAAGAAGTGGCAGGGTCATTAGTTCATGGGGTAGTCCTCTTGGGTGAAGGTGCTGGGTTGGCAGCCATACAGAGTTCATTGAGATAGAGTTTGGGGAACAGATATCATAAGGCTTGAGTTATAGGGGTGAGGAATTGGGAGGAATTGGGAGGAATTTGAGTTGGCAGTCAAGGGGTGAGGAATTGGGAGGGGTCGGCGCATACAGAACAGGAACTCGGCAAGGTTAGAAGGGCAACAAAATGGAGTCAATTTTGACAGGGTACAACACTGTTCACCTCATGGTTCTGGGAAGCAGAGAAAGGGGGACAGGATAGGGTGCCAATATCCCCTTCAGGACCATATTTCTGAGGACTTAACTTTTTTCAAGTAGACTGCACCTCTTAAAGGAGTAACTACTTCTATTGTGCCTCAGGCTACAGATCAAACCTCTAGAGAAAGAGCCATCAGGCAAACAATGGATACAAGCCCTAATATCTGGGGAAGCTTAGAAGTGAATCTGTGCTACAGAGTCTCCACATGGGTGTGAAGTCAGCATATATTTTGATTTCAGTCTTAGGAATCCCTTAGCAAAAGAATTAACTAAAACATTCCAGACTTTTAAATCTAGATATTAAGGTGGTACATTTGTGTTGATTTAGGGCACTAGGTGTGTGATAATCCCTCTGTTTAACAAAAGAAAGAAATAAAAAAAATACAATATTTTGACAACTGTTTTGTGTGGGGTGACACTAGGGATTGAACTCACATTTTTATACTGAGGTAAGTCCCCAGCCCTTTAGTGTTTGAGATAGGGTCTTACTAAATCATTAAGTTGTCCAGGCTGGCCTTAAACTTGACATCCTCCAAATTCACCCTCCTTCAGTACTAGGATTACAGGTATGTGCCACAACGTCTCACTTTATGTTTTTTTTATTTTTTGACATAGGTTCTCATTATGCTGTCAAGGCTGGCTTTTGAATTCCTGGGCTTATGTGATACTTCTGCCTTAGCATCTTTTTATTTATCTATTTCTGTATTTTAGGGAAGAGTCCACAGGGTGTTCAGGGTCTCACTACTAGATCCGACTCATAGTGATCCACCTGTTTACAGCCTCCCAAGAGCTGGGATTACAGGCGCGCTACCACACCCAGTTTTAATTGCCATCTCAGTGTGCCCCGTAGGCAGCCAGAACAGCAGGCCCAGGGGGAAGGCCCAGGGAATCAAAACCCTGGCCCCTGCACCTGCTTGCAGGCACTTTAATCCACTGAGCTAATTTTTATTTTTGTTTTTTTATTTTTTGGCGGAAACCGGGGATTGAACTCAGACCCTTGGGCTTGCCAGGCACATGCTTATTCAACTGAGCTATCTCCCCAGCTGAACTATTTTTTTTTTTTTGTGTTTGTTTGTGTGTGTGTGTGTGTGTGTGTGTGTGGCCAGCTCAGCCCACCAGGGGGCGGGGCTGGCTGGCATGTGGTGCTGGAGGATTGAACCGTGGTCCCTGTGCTTTGCTAAGCTTGTTTGTTCTAAGTAGGTGCTTTAGACCACTGAGCCATCTCACCAGCCCCATATTTTTTAAATTAATTTATTGAGAAAGAAGTAGCAATGAGACAGGTTCAAAACAGGTAAGACAGTAACAATAATTAATACATTTCATATTGTTGTCTTTGTAGTAGTTATTCCCACTGAGCTATTTGGCCTGGCCCTGAAGACCATTATTTTTCTAAAGCTTGAGATTCTTAATTAAATTATGTGCAATTCCATCTTTGCATTAACTAATACATAATAAACTATATCCCATGGTATAATCATTAGATGATAAACTTTTTTTTTTTTTGGCAGAACCGGGGATTGAACTCAGGCCCTTGAGCTTGCCAGGCAAGTGCTTATTCTGCTGAGCCATCTCCCGGCCCCAAAACATCTTCTTTTAAAAAAATGTATTTAGGGCAGGGTTTACAGGGTCTCAGGTAGATCGGACTCATAGTGATTCTCCTGTTTTCAGCTTCCCAAGAGCTGGGATTACAGGGACGTGCCACCACGCCCAGTCTCAACTGAAGTCTCAGCTCGCCCCGCCCAGCACGGCACAGCACAGCCGGGATCAAACCCTCCTCCCCTGCTGCACTCTGCCTAAGCAGGTACTTCAGTCTGCTGTGCTATCTGGCTGGTCCAAGACAATAATCTTTTAAAGCTACTTTTTTTTTGTTGTGAAGCAAAAGCTATGCAAAGGGCTGGGAGTGTAGCTCAGTGGTAGATTCTCCATATCAAGGACCTAGACCTTACTGGTACCATCATTAAATATTATGTACAGTTGTACACTTTTAACACTGCATTTTACTAAGATTTTGCATACACTGTCATTGAAATGGAGGAAAGTCAGAAAGATGATAGGTTCATGTTAGCATTTTAAATAAATGGAATTAGATATTTTTGTGTAGATACGGAAGGAAAAATCAGAATCATCACGGGTGAAAGAGGCAAGATGTTTTTGGATCAATAAAAAATATAATTTCAAAAATGGCATCAATATATAAATGAACTGGTCCGTTTAACTCATGATCACCAGGTAATGGTAGCAGACAATCTGCCTGAGGTACTGGGGGATTTCCAGTATCTCTTTTTTTTTGGCGGAAACGGTGATTGGACTCAGGCCCTACTGAGCCATCTCCCCAGCCCTAATTTCCACTATCTGTACAAGGCTGAATGCTCTTAAAATTGTCTCCTACTGTTAAAGCATTTTCTGCCAAAGTGGAATAGCACTAAAATCCCCTGAGTAGATTCAGCTCAAGAAAGTCAGTTGTGTTCTTTTCGAAAACCGCCAATGTTTGGATATCAGTGTGCTGGGAAACAAGGTTGTGGCGGTAGACCTTTACGCAGAGCAGGATCCCTGGAGTTCTCACAGGACCTGTTTGTAACATTATTGCAACATGCAAATCATTGGATTTAGTAAGATGTGCTATCGCACATCGTCCTTTCGGGCTAGTAATACATAACATCAGCTTATCGAAGTAGGTTACTATTCTTGTTTTACAGATGAAGGTCATATACTGTTGATAGGAACAGTGAGCTCTGGCTGGAACTAGCAGCTGTGTATTTCTAGGACAGTACTCCATTCATGTCTACCGTAGCCCAGGTAAGCGCTCCGTCACATTCGCTTCAGCTTTCGTGGAGTAGCGGAATATTACTGAGCACATCTACTTTCGCAGCTAAGGATTTCAGACCCAGAAGCTTTTTCCATATTCGTATTTATAATTGTTAGCATCATCAGAGTATTTAAAAAAAAAAAGAATATGTCTTTGGTGGGCTATTGCCAAACCAACACTAAAACAGCTTTCACCACGCAACACCGAAAACAGGCATTGCCCCTTTGAGGGCTCTGCACCGGGTTTCCGTAAAAAGGGGGCCCAGACAGATGACGTACTTCCGGGGCGTGACACAGTCAGGTACTTCCGAGGAGGCGGATGCAGGAGGCGGGGCGTTGCTGAGGGCGACCGGGCCGCGGGCTAGCGCTTCTGGCGGGAGCCAGTTGGGGCGGGGCTTGCTGGGGGAGCTGGCCCTCCGAGTGCAGGGTGGGGCCGGGCGCGGCCTCCGTAGTGCCTGGCGCCCAGACGCCCTCGGCATCCTAAGCGCCTGGTCTGTGCGCGTCTGTCCTCGCGTTTCGTGTAGCTCCAGCTTCGGGTCCTTTCTCAGCTCTCGCAGTCGCCCCTGGCGCCGCCGCCCGACCCGCCGGCCGCCGCGGGCCGCGGAGCCCATGAAGACGCGGGCCCCGCCGCCGCCTCCGCGGCGTCGCCGTCGTCCCGGGACGCCCCGAGTGGGCACGGGCATGGGAGCGGCCTGAGCGCTGTACTGCCGCGGGACCTGGAGGGGAAGGCGGCGCCGCTGCCGGAGGCGGGAGCCATGGCAGAGAAGCGCGCTGGCGCGCAGGCCGCTGGCGGCAGCTGGGTGAGCCCGGGATGCCGGGGCCGGAGTCGGGGTCGGGGCTGAGCGGCGAGGGTGGGCTCGCGGAGCCGGCGCGCTCCTTGGGAGCGAGCTTCGTCGCGAGCACGGGCTTCTCTCGTGGCGCCTTCCCAGGAAGACAGAAAACTTGAGGCGGTTTGGTTGCTTCCAAAAGCGAAGCAATTAGGGTATTTGGGATCTCTTCATCACTGTGCCGGTTGACACAGATTTGGGGCGCTTTGGAAAAAGAGCAGGGAGCTCCTGGAGCCGCACGCTTACCCTGACTCCGGAGTAGCCGCGGTGGGAGCGACCGGCAGCACTCTGCTCCTTCCGCTTTCTCCAAGCGGCCGAGGAGCAGTCGGCCAAGGGGAAGTTGTTCGTCCCAGGACCAGCGAGGTGCAAGTTCAGGCCGGTCTCTTTCTTCGGTCCTGCTCGAAGTTGGAGTGCTTTGACATGGGCGCGTGAAAGCCTCAGTTTCCTTGGCCTGGATTCGGCCGAACAGGCCTTGTCAGTGGCGCGTTGGTTTCTTATGGTGGAGTAAGAGGGTCTGTCATTTCTAAGTGTGAAAGGATAGGGGAGGGAGGTCTGTTTGGAACCCGAAGTATAGAAAATATTATAGTGAATACAAATGGATAATCATAGAAAAGTTTTTTCTAAAAAAAGTTGGAGTAAGGGCCGGGGAGATGGCTCAGTAGAATAAGCGCTTCCCTGGCAAACGCAAGGGTCTGAGTTCAATCCCTGGTTCCGAAAAAAAAAAAAAAAAGTTGGAGTAGATGTTAAAACTTAACATGTCTAATTTTGCTTTTAAAGAATGCTACGTATTATGTTTACATGTTTCCTAAATGAATCCTCATTAGTAGAGTTGAGAGGGTCGTAAAGTAGGAGCAATAAATAGGATAAAGTAGAGCTGGTTTCTAGCCATGGTTATACCAGAGCAAGGTCACTTTTGTGATAGTCTAGCTATTTAGTGCCTAATCTGTAAATGAGTGTTTAGTAATATTGAAGGTCTTTTGTGATTCTTTGTTTTCGAAAAAACAGTGGAGGCTCTTCATTTTAAAAATGAGATCTTTCTAGTGAGGAATGCTTTTCTTATGAAGGTGGAAGGAAATTTTGTAGAATTGTTTTCTCTCATTTTGATTTTGATTAAGTGGACCTGTCATCTTCTTCCCTCTAAGCAAGCAAAACCAGCAAGTCCTTTTGTCTTCCTTGAATTGGTGATCAGTAATTACTAACCAGTGCCAAGCTAGTAATTTGAGGTAGCTTCCTTCCTCTCTTCTCACCACACTAGAAAGTCCAGCTACATTTACCAGATACAGATTTTAGAATTCCTCTTCTCTGCAGTCCTGTGGTTCATTTCCCCATCGGCATTCTGGTCCTAAACTTTGACTATCCTTTGTTAGACTCGTGGTCACCCCACTGTCAGTCTGCTCACCACTTTGCTGATTAGTACGACCTAACATGTAAATGTGATCATTACAGCTGTCCTTAATTTTTTTCATTGGCTCCCTGTGGCTTACAGAATAATAAATAAACTGCTAGGTGGAAGCATTATTAAGCATAGTGATTAGTTAAGCGTGCTTGAAATTCCAGTTCCTAACTTTATTATTTGTGTAATTTTGGGTAAGTTACATAATCTCTCTTTTTGATGGTATTCACCATATAGGACTGTGAGGGCTGCAGCAACTTGCACTTAGTAAGTCCTTAATAATATTAAACAGGTGTTGTTACTCTCAATATTTTTTGCATGTATGAATTTTGAATGGTCAAAATTATAGGTGATCTCCTGTGGTAAAAATACTCTCTCTGGTTCCCAACCGGGAAAGGAAGTAGCCCCCAACTTGAAAATTAAGAATGGAAACTTGAGGGATGTTTACTCAAAGAACATCCTCGAAGTTTATTCCCTATTCCTTCTTTGGTTGTTTTGTTTTGTTTTGTTTTTTGGCTCCGAATGCCTTCAGGGCAGGTTTGGCTGGCTTGAGTTGTGGGGATCGAACCACAGCAACCTGAGCCTGACTGCTGTGTTGAAGCAGCCACTTAAAGAACTGAGCTAAGGGGCAGGCTCCCTCCCATTCCTTCTTTGGATCTTGATAACCTGCTAATTTGGGTACAGATTCCTACCCAGTCTTTTCACGTTTCTGAAAGTGGACAGACTTGGTATTGATATATCAACTCTTATAAATATCGAGTGTTTTCATTGCCTGCACTTGCCAGGCAGGCTCTTATGCACCTGCCCAGTGTTTTCTTAATGTTTGGTGTAGATGATTAGCATGGGCTTTTCTCAGTGTATTAAAACTGAGAAAGCAGTGAATGCCTTAATCATAGGCATTTATGTCATGTGCCAGTACTTTCAAATTATGCCTAGTTTTTCTGCTTGCAATTTCTTTTTAGTTATCCCTTGATGTCCTTTGCCCTACAGCCTCCATAATTTGATTTCACTTTAATGCATTGTAATGTCCTTATAGCTTGGGTTCCTGTGACACTCTAGTTTCAGGTTCTTCGGAATTAACTGAACAATCACCGAGAGGAGTACTTGTGTACAGATAATCACCTGACAAGGTTTTTTCTTAATCTCATTTAGCACAGAGGTATACTAACCTGACAAAGATAGTGAAATGTAATGAACCAAAACATAGCCTGGTTCCAGCCCTCTGATAAGCTGAGATAGAAGGTACTGCAGTTTGAACCCAGCCTGAGTGACTTTACAAGACCCTATCTCAAAACAAAAAAATAAAAAGGGACTGGGGATGTAGCTCAATGGGAAGGGTTTGGGTTCTATCCCTGTACCAAAAAAAAGTGAGGTGGGAGGGCAGGTATTTTCTTCGTGAGATTACTTCTTTCTAGAAAAGAGAGGTGTTTGCTCTCCTTTGTTGTATCTCTTCTGTGCATTCATGTGCATTTTGAGATGCTGTATAAGAATTGGTATTATTCAGTGTAGATTTTTCTGTTATGCATAGCACAGGTAAAGTGATTTATACATGGGCATTTGGTAAGGGTTAAGGATGTTTTACAAGTAAAATACACTAAATTTAGGGTAATATTTCATTGTGCTTATGGATTCCAAGAAGCCAGTGTTTGAATTGTAGTCAAGAGTGCTTATATGAAAAGTCATAGAATCATTGTCATTTTGGTGACATTTGAAGTTTTGAGTTGATTTTCCTTAGCATAAGGAATCCCTGTGAAAGTTATTATTTTTTTTCTTAGAAAAATACAGGCAAAATAGAGAAGCACTTTCTATATTTTTAAAAAAATGGCTACAATGACTGGGAATGTTTTATTTATTAAATAGTGAAATGGCTTAAGGAATTTTAGGGAACAAATTGTAATGATAAGTTTTCAATTTTTAACACTGCTAGAAGTCAGTTTGATAAAATGTTCTTGGGACATTGACATAACTAAACTGTGTAACTATCATGTAAGCAAACAAAGTAAAGTAAAAAGCTACAAGCAGTTGGTATATTGGAGTTTATAAGATAAAATGTGTCATGCATTTATGGCAGAAGCATCTGTATTTAGAACTCAGTTAATTAGTTAAGCCTGCATTTTATCAGAATAAAGACTTGTTGCTGTTGTGTTCTTAGGTCTGGTTGGATTGTTTTGTTGTATTTGAAATTTTCAAGTTCTTTTTATATTTGAGAATCAAGTCCTTTATCAAGATGTTTTGCAAAAGCCTCATTTCTAGTCTGGTTCATCTTTTCATTCTTTGCACAGTGTCTTCAAGAGCAGAAGTTTTAAATTTTGATGAAATACACTTTCATAGGTCATGTGTTTAGTTTTATACTTGAGAAATATGTGTTTAAAAGTTTTAACAATTGGACTCATGTTCATTTTGAATTAATTTTTTATAGGATTCCTGTTACACATGGAAGGTTTTGTTTTGTTTTTTTGGGGTGACCCACTGTGGTGTTATTTACTGAAGACTTTTCTTTATTCACTGAATTGCTTTAATACCTTTGTCAAGAATCATTGTCCGTATGTATGTCAGTCTACTCCTAAACTCTGCCTTCTGTTTCTTTGTTGCCTATCCGTCTTTACATCAACGGCATACAATATTGATTGTGAGAGATTCAGAATGGACTTGAGAAAAAATAAACTTTGCCCTTCAAAACAAAACCTTTTGGGATTTTCTTTGGGATTCTGTTGCCCTTGAAGATTAGTTTGGAAAGAGTTAAAAGTTCAAGGTCAGGTCTTCTGATCCAGAAATAAGGTATCTCTGTTTATTTTAGATCTTTTAATTCTGTCAATTGAGGTTCCTGGTTTTCAATTTGATACCTTTGTTAGATTATTTCTAGTTTCATAGTTCTTTCTACCATTGAATTTAGTGTCATTACACAAATGTAAGTTGTAAATTTTTTT